AGAAGTGAAAATCATTAACAAGCAATCGTTCGATGGGCTGAATTGCACAAAACGCATGATCGCACCCGCGAGTCTGGTGCGCGTTGCCATATATTCAGGATAAACGCCAAGGTAAGGCGCAAACAGCTGTTTCGGGTTTATCCTTTCTTGTTAAGGTCTTTCTTTCGCATTTTGCCGGACGAAAGCTAGGAATTCCGAGTTTTCTGCATAAATCCCCAAAACCCGACTCCCTTTTAGTCAAATTTTCGATGCCTTTCGAAAAAGTTCTCGTTACATCGTATGGCGCTAATGACACATATCCAGTGATCAGATCCAGTTAAGAGGTGACTGTTAGTTCAGTGATTCTTTGAAAAGCTCGGAGTAAGCGGTCACTTCAGTCACAATGGATTAGGACTTCGACCAGTTGCTATACAACCACTGTTTGAGATGTCAAGTTCTAAAAGGACAGTGTCAGACGTCCAACGGGATGAATTTGCTGGGATTTTGCATACAGTGGTCGGAGTACTTTTCATGTCTCAAATCAAGCTGGCTACATCCACGTTTCATACAATGTCGAAATTGCACAAGTAATAGAATCCAGCTCGTCAAATCTATCACTTTTGTGCGTTTAGTGCTTCTTGCTGAACTTAAAAAAATACACTTATTCGCGAAAATTAAAAAAAGTAATGCCACTTTCTAGTACCACTACTGTTCTCCTCTCAACGGTATTAAATTTCCAGGAGTTGCAATGCTATAAAGTGCCTCACTACAGTGTGTAAAATGGCAAATCTAATCCCCCCTCGCCCATGGTAGCTGGTAATGATACGCGCCTAAAGCTTTGCAAACGTTTTGTCGGGAGCGCTGCCGAGCTGGTAGCCTTTTCCTGAGTTGAAACAAACGCTAAGGATCGCCAATGGGCCGTCACAAACACTATCAAACTGGAGCTGCTGACTGTGTAGCCGGAGAATCAACTATAAATCTCAGTCGACTCAGGTATACCAAACACTGAAATTCTTTAGTCCCCAATTTCTTACTGCTATTGTTTATATTCCAGGAAATTAAATACGCCTGAAATTCCCTCAAATAAAATTGAGACTTTTTATTTGAAACAAATCTAATTCTCTTCGTTTTCCTCGCGAAACTTTCAGTTATACTGCTCTCAGAAATAATACCACTGGTTATTATACTAGAATACTAGATTTAACGAATAATTCTGATTTTTTAAATTGCACTGGTTAACATTTGTCGTCGAAGAGAATCAAACTTATTGTGATTCTCAAATTCGTTCGCGGGTTAAACTGATTACTGAATTATTTACAATGAAATGACGACACTTTCAGCTCGTGTTTTACGTAGCGGTAGAAAGGAAGAGCTCTGAGGTTATTTCAGAAAATGATTTTTGGAGAAATGACGAAGCCATTTTCTCTTTTAAATCAGGATATTAGTCCATGAAATTTCAGGCGTGTAATTTGTTGCAGTAATCAATAGGCTTTGCAAGAATGGTAGCTGGCCGTCATTATGTCTAAAAATTAACAGATTCTCAAGAGGTAATTTTACCGACCAGCCCAACTTCCCCGTCCTTCCTCTTGTGCCGCGTTTTTATATCAGACTATAAAGTTATGCTGTTTTACCATAATTCTCAGTTATCGTCAGGTCCAGACCGTTTAGTCACATCTATCAGACACTGCATCAAAGCATGCGGATAATGTCAAAACGATTAAAAATGACTAATGAACAAAAAACAACGTTTTTGACAAAAGCAAGATTTCGCTAAATGATTTGAAGCTTCGAAAAAAGAGCTGAAGCAAAGTAAGTGCCTTGTCCTCATTCTCCCACCTTTATTTTCTCTTTCTCCCACTTTTAGTGCAAAGTTTTATTTTCCCCAAATGCACACTGATAATTTTCAGCCAGTACTTTGATGCAATAATAAAAGTTTAGAATGTCATGCTCTTAAATTTCCAGTTAATTGATTTTTAAGTGAAAGACTCAACATCTTCGAGAAAAAAAAGCATCTGTTTCATGTAAGTGCTTTTTAACTGCTTTTTAAGTGCATTAAATGTTGTTATTTTTTGCAGGTTATTTCGTTTGCGTGAAAATTTTCCGGATTTTTAGAGCAATTAAAATTCGCGTTATTCAACCCATGTTGCTTGCAGAGTCTGTGATTAAAAAAGGAGTGTGCTGTCGTCGGACTGCTTTTTGTTCATCAAATTCTCTAAAATCGCGCTTTTTGCATCCATCAACTTCCAACTGCACTTCATAACAAAATTTTGCCGATAAAAAGAGAAAACAATCTTGTGCGTCTTCAGTGAATGATTTATATACAGCGAACTGGAAGAAAAACAATATCGGAAAAGAAAATTGAAAAAACAAATAATCAATGCACTGGAAGAAGTGATAATGTCAAACACATCCAATAATGATATGTAATTCGAAGGCTCCTTTCCAAATTGGAAAACAAAGAGATACCAGAGAGAAACAGTTGGATAAGTGCGTCGCGAAGTGAAAGAGTAAATGTGGTCATGAAATGTTGGCAGTACGATATGTACGTAAATAAAAGGCGCGCATTCAGGACTTATAAAAAAAAAGACTGCCGCTAACAAAACTCATATTACAAATCTGGTTGAAGCTCCAGTATCCACTAAAGCAGTACTCTCATTTACCACTATCCATCTTTTTCAACCAAACCAGTGAACAAATCTTTATGAAATGTTTTTAACCCGAGCAAATCAACCCTTCTATCACCGTACACATGGCTGAGACTAGAACTGTATTCAACCTACTCATCAGTTTTAGTGCCTTTGTTCACAAACGTTTGGTGTCTAGGTTCTCCATGCACGCCAGAGATATGTAAAATAAGTGACGACAGAAGACAACATCTTACCAGAACCGTAATACTTGCTTTTTATTTCCAGTTCATTTTTGAAACCTTTCTGCAATATCAGTAAAACGGCAGATAAATAATCGTGATCTAGTTCGCTGAAGCCTGCAGGACTGTAGCATACTACAGTATCGTCATTTGGATTTTGCAGTTGACTATGTTCAGGGTGAAAAGTAAATCTCTAACAGGAGATATTCACAACGATTCTCTCAGATGGTCACAGCGATAATAATGGTACTGTTTAATAGTATCGTTTCACAGCAGCACGCATAATTTTTCAGCAAGCAAACAACCGGTAGTGACACATAAAAATGCAAAGGCACAAAAACGAAGAAACTACGGAAATACATCAGAAGTTCTCATCGTCGAGGATGATGCAGTTGATGTATACGTTGTATATGGCGCAAGCGGATCAGCAGTCTGCCGCAACTCAGATGGCTGTCCACGCCAGCTCACTGTTTTTGTATACACTCGCACCCCAGATTCCATGGGACTGCCACTAGCTGATTCGACAATCGGTGATTGCCCTAAGTCTTCAACTGAAAGGTGCAAAGTTTCCATCATTCGCCTCGCTGCTTCTGGATGTAACATTCTCATATGCACAGCGCGTGGAATCGAGTAACGTCGGCCACTTGCTGGGTGAACAATTTCTCCCGTAATGATATCTAGCAAGCCGCTTTCCGCAGCCTCACGGACTGAAACTCGAGATGTGCCATCTGGATGTTCAATAACCTTTTCTTCAACGTCAAACCCATGGTCCCGCAAACTATCCAGAAAATCGTGCTGCAAATCAGCCATCGCTTGTGGATCATCAATTAAACTACGGGTTTTGCTACCTCGTGACGCATCCGAAATAGACCGCATCCGAAGAGATAAACCGGGCTCTTGCCTATGTGGTGATGAAAGCTTAATGATTGTTGCCTCTTCTTTAATGCGAGGCATCCCGCTTCCAGTTTTGTATTCATCAAGCGATTCTAACTTGAATTTATAACCTTCCATGTCACGACGCTTTACAGCTTCTGTGACAGCTTGAGCAGCTTGCATAGGAGAAGCAATCAAGGCGATCAGACCTCTTGCTGCTGCTTCCTTCAGGCTGATTTTTATGCCTGTTCGTGCATCAATGTATTTCCCATCCGAATCAACTAGGCCACGATTTAGGGCTTCTTTTATTGTAATTGTATGACCAGATTCAAGGTCATGTAGTAGTGAATCACCATCAATGACATCGCGATCCACAGCAGATTTGAAAGTCAAATATAAGCCTGATTTTTTATCCCTAATTCGACCTGAATTCTCGTCAAATTCAACAGAATATAGGATATTTGCTAGGTTTCGCTCATCTGACCCTTCCATGGCTTCAACACTCCCAGTATCAATGTAACCTTCTTCAATTGCCTGATTAATCGACATCTGTTTCCCCGAATCGGAATCAGTGAACTGATTTTGCGCAACATCAATCAAACCTTTGCTTAATGCTTCAGCAAATGTCATTTTGTCGACGCGTTTCAGTTTTTCTCCAATGAATTGCGGTATTTTACCTTCAGCAGTTGCTAGAGCAACAGGAATTATAACTCGTTCACTGAGCTGAATGGTTTTTTTCCGAGGATCAACCAATTTGTTTTGAACAGCTTCAATCAAATTAAGTCTCCTTTTTGTGCGGAAATCAGTCAGAAACGGTTCCGTAATAGCTTTATAAGTTCCAGCATCAATCAAGCCCTTATTGAATGCCTCTTGCAACGATATTTTTTCACCAGTGATAAAGTTTGAGTATTGAGCCGTGGCAGTGTCAATCAGTCCTTCCGTAAGTGCGGTAAGAACTGGTATTCCGTAGCCTTTTGTTGGATCATACACGCCTTCCATCGTCAAGCTTGTGTATATCGGTTTCACAATATCTAACCAGCTCAGTTTTTCTTTTGTGAATGGGTTATTCACTTCACCAGTTTTTGGGTTGATGATGCCAAGTTCGACAGCCCGCTGCACAGAAATTCTTTCGCCGTTTGCTGGATGGCATACACCTTTCGGAAGAATTTCTGATAAAGTCACATCCAAAAGGCCCATATTTGCTGCTTGAGCTAACGGCAGTGCGTCCCCTGTCTTCGGATTTATGTAAGTCAAGTTTTGCAAATCAATTATTTTTGCTCTGACTGCATCTTCCAAACTAATTTTCTCGCCACTGGCATCAACAACACCTCGAGCGACAGCGTTTTGAATGCTTGATCGGAAAACCGAGTAGGTCTTAGTGGTCTGCTTGCCCTTTTTATCAATACGTGCGATACCAATGCGCTGGGCATCCTGTAACGACATAATCCGCCCATTCCTTTTATCCCGGATTTTGTCAATGCCAACAAACTCTGCATGCGGTTCCAGCTGAATTGACTGCACTTGGGCAGTACTTTTCACAACGGTTTTGGCTTCAGTCACATACGGATCGCCGTGCAACTGAATGGTGAATTTCATTCCCGACAATGGATCAACATATTCACCTTTTTCCACACCTCCCTCTCCACGCACAACTTTCACCATTACCTGCTTTCCGCCGCCTAAATCAACCATTTCTTGACGTCCTGGTCCCACAGTGCGTTTTTCCATCACGGCAATTGTCGACGTTCTCATGTCATCCTTGAATTCCGGCGCATAAGGCGTAAGTTCCAATTTCTGCTCTATCAAGCGTGGTGGATGAGGCTTCTGGAAAGTGCGCATTTGAGAACCAACGCCAGCCAGTACTCCACTAGTAAGAGCCCGTGGAAATGACACTGCTTCAGCAGACTGCTTCGTGTAAACCACACCTTTTACAGGATCCACAATATTCCTCTCCACAGCTACACTGTATGGTAATTCTTCTCCAGTCGATGGATCACGTACAACGATGCTCTGACTATCAATCACTTTTGCTGCAATTGCGTCTTCCACTTTGATACTGCCACCGTCTGAAGTTGTTAACCGCCCGGTCGATAAATCAAGTCTTCCCGACATCAATGCACCTTCAAGACTTTGCGCTGATCCTTTGCTTGCAAGAAGACCTTGTGCCTGCGCTGTCTTCAAATCAACATATTCTCCCGTTTCTGTATTAAGCACAGTGCCGTCTGCATCATTGATAATGTTCTCATCGATAGCTTCTAGAACGGACAATTCTCGATTTCGTTTCTTATCTAACACAGTTGTACCATATGGATTGAACAGCCCTTTGATTATTGACTCTTTCAAGGACATTTCCTTCTGTGTCTGCGGGTGTGTAAACATGCCAGTTTTTGCGTCGTACCAGCCCAACATCAGTGCATTTGTTAACGTCTGGTCTACAAATGCTGAAGGTCCACTCAACAAGGCTTCCTTTTCCGACACCTCACTTCGCTTCTGAATTTTATAAGTTGTATAAACCGCATCGGAAGCGTTTTCGGGCACACCGCCTGTAGGAAAAACACGGTGCTGTTGCGCCGCCTCAGCTAGTGAGTACCTTTTGTTCTCACGCTTGTCCAAATAATAGCTATCTTTCCGATCAATAACGCCCCATTTTTCGGCTTCGTCGAATGACATTTCACGAGCAGTTAATGTGTCGAAAACTCGAAGATCCTCAGGAGCAATTTTTCCTGTTCGTAAAGCTGCATCAAGTGTGAGCCGTTCTCCACTTATATGATCAACCAATTCTCCTCTAGTTACATCAAATGTCCAGGACTGTTCCGATTCTTCAACAGTTGAAGTCCTAACTGGCCGGAAACTTACAACTGCCTCACTACCTGGAGTAAACTGGATGATTTTCTTTCTTGCGCTTTCTACGCTCACTGGCAATTCCGCTTCAACAAAAGCACTTCCGTTTTCAATCTGTTTTCGCAGACTAACCGAAGATCCGTCATACACCATGAAACCATTCTTATCAATTAGTTTGCGGTTTATTGCTTCCACTATCGGGATCTGTTTTCTGCTTACTGGATCTCGAATGCTTATGCTTTTGCTGTCAACCAAGCCCAAATTAAAAGCTTCCTCTAGAGTCAAAGTGCGATCCACATTTGGTAGCGTTACGACTCCTGTTGTAAGATTTACGTAACCTTTACGTTCCGCTTCCAAAATATGATAACCATCGACAGGTACCTCTACGGTACCTTTAGCACCAGTGATTGAACGATAAACAGAAACACCTCCCGGTCCACCAACTGCGGTAGTTTCTGTTTTCTTCACTCTCTTGATGGTTGTTACAGTTTCCTCGATGTTCTTATCCGGATAAAACTTTGGAGCAAGCTGCTGTGCCGTTTCGGCAACAGATTCACTCACTTTCTCCTCAATAGTAGGACCGACTCCCGCGCTTTTTGACGGAATTATCCATTCATCAGATGGGTTCAGAAGCCCTTGACTTAAAGCTTCTTCAAAACTCATTTCCGTATCTCCTTGGCGGAATCGGTGGGTGCGAGAATCAACCAAACCTTGTCTCATTGCTTCTGCTAAAGTAACTTTCACTTGATCAGTTGCTACATCTTGCTTTTGCCCTGGACGCCTGATCCGTTTCTTCTGATCAATTTTTTTAACCGGTGTAACCAAAGACGGGTGGATGTCAAGCATCGACGATAGCTGTAATGCGCCCCGAAGGGTTATCAATCCAGCGTCATAAGCTTCCTTCGGGGAAAGTTCCCTGCCGTATCTCTTGTCTATAAAAACGCCTTTTCGAGGGTCGATGAAGCCTTTTGCTACAGCACGAATGACAGTAAGAACTTGTCCCGAACCGTTTTTGATACCTAACGAAGTAGTTAGAAGTTCAAATAACATAGGGTCTACCAAATCCTTATCTTCACAATCGGTCAAGAGGTGACTTTCGTTAGCAGCGATATCTACTACTCGTTCCGCCTGCAGTATGATGACACCAGAATCCACCGCTTCATTAAACGTTAAATTTTCTCGCGTTTTGGTATTCCTGATACCCTTTACATCAAAAACAGAATGTCGTACGCGCTTTATTAATAACCCGTCATGAATTGCTTCACTGACAGAGAACACCTTCTGTTGCTTTGCAAGCACAATCCTCCCATCTGCTTCCAAGATCCCTCTTTCGAGAGCTTCAGCGATCGAAATCACATCTTTTTCCTCTGGATCTACAATGTGTCGCACATCTGGATCTAGCAGACCAGCTGCAATTGCTTCTAGCAAAGTGAATCGGCGTTTGGTACCACCGTCGATGAATTTGTTCGTTGAGTCAATTAGATCTTTCTCGCTGATTTCCATGAGCGTCAGCGGCTTCTGTATCAAATCTCTTGCAAAAGCTTCTTGAAGTGTAAGACTCTGGCTTTTTTGTAAATCTGTGTAATTGCCTTGTCGTGTGTTCACGGCGTTTCTCACGATAGCCTCACCCAATGTAACACGTCGGTTCTCATCCGTTCTCACCACTTCTGGGACGTGCAAATTCAGCAGCCCATTTTGCCGCGATACCGCTTCACGCAACGTTATCTTCTCCCCACTATGCCTGTCTACAAATTCTCCACTGTTCCCATCGATAAGGCCTGTTTGGAGACAGTCTGAGAGAGTGATCGCAATCATAGTGTTAGGGCGACTCCCGCCAATCTGTATGTAGCCATTGTACAAAGCATCTTTGAGTGGCATTGTTTCTCTAGTGTACTTTCCAGTGAAATGGCCTGTCTCCTTGTTCACAACTCCTTGTTCAATTGCATTATCCAGCGACATGGGTGGCAGTTTCAATATGCCCATTTTAACTAGTCGATGTTGTGTATCAAGAGTAATGATTCCGCGTGAAATACAGTCATACATCGGTAAGATTTCACCGGTTTCGATATCCCTCAACTGGCGCACATCGGGGTCATACAAGCCAACCTGGATAGCTTCAAGAAGTGACAAGCTTTCCCCTGTTTCAGGATGGCGTATGCCATAATGGGTATTAAGTACTTCATGGAAACCACCATCAATGTAACCTAATTCTGCAGCTTTTTCTAAACTGATTCTGGCACCCGAGACGATGTCATAGAACTCGCCCCCGCCAGAATGTAGGTCTAACAGCCCCTGGCGTACCGCTTCAACAAAAGTTAAAATCTCGCCAGTCTGCTTATGCAAAATGCCTTCCATTTCGTAAAACTGTGTTTTTGTAACTGTCTCTTCTTGGTACATCTGCATCTCATCCTCATGTTCGGCAATTGTCGCCCTTTCGGGCACATCCCTGATCTCCTCGAATTCTTCCAATTCCATACCCTCTGGCGCAAATGTCTGTTGCATGCCATGCCTCAAATCAGGCATCTGAAACAAAGTATCGGTCATGTCACTCCCATGGCACTGGTATTCTCTTCTACATAAAATCTCATGACTAAATAATAACAAGTCCCAAATGCCGTTGTACTAGACCACTAGAAGGTACTTTTTTCGATTCCCACTAGGCCTTCTGTCTATTCTAGTTAGTCCAGACTAGGCTCCCCCAAAAAGGAAACAGCGGTAAGCTTACTTTAGGTCGTCTTCTCAGATCTTCCCGGCGTCGTCGTTCGTCCTCTTCGCGTCGAATTTTGTCAGCTAACTCGGCTTGACGTCGTCTTTCATCTTCTAACCGTTTTTTATCCGCTTCAGCTTCTCGACGTCTACGCTCTTCGTCCTCCCATTTTTGACGTTCACGCTTTTCGTTCTCACGTCTCTGTCGTTCACGCTCACGCTCCTCTTCCTTCCGTCGCTGTCGTTCGCGCTCACGCTCCTCGTCTTCACGTCTCCGGCGTTCGCGTTCTTCATTCTCACGTCGCCAGCGTTCACGTTCTTCGTCCTCACGTTTTTGACGTTCGCGTTCTTCATCTTCACGTCTTCGACGCTCGCGCTCTTCGTCCTCTTTTCGTCGGCGCTCTTCATCCTCCTGTCGCCGACGCTCACGCTCTTCGCCCTCACGCCGCTTACGCTCGCGCTCCTCGTCCTCCCGACGTTTACGATCTTCATCTTCCCGCCGTTTCTTCTCCCGTTCAGCATCATCTTTCGCCTGCTTCTTTTTACGTTCTTCCTCTCTTCTACGTTCCTCTTCCCATCTCAGACGTTCACGTTCTCTTTCTGCGTCTTTGTTCTTTTTGGCTTCTTCAGACGCCTTTCTTCTGGCTTCTTCCTCAGCCCTCCTTCTGGCTTCTTCCTCAGCCCTTCTTCTGGCTTCATCATCCGCTCTTCTCCGAGCTTCTTCGGCGCGCTTCCTGGCTTCTTCCTCTGCCCTTCGTCTAGCTTCTTCTTCTGCTCTCCTCCTCGCCTCTTCTTCAGCTTTTCGACGTGCTTCCTCTGCAGCCTCACGTGCGCGACGCAAACGATCCGCCTCTTCTGCAGCACGACGAGCATCTTCAGCAGCTTTGCGTTCTCTCCGGAGTCGGTCCGCATCCTCCAGTGCTTTCAGCCGAGCTGCTTCAAACTGACGACGTTTCTCCTCTTCTTCAGCTCTCCGTCGATCTTCCTCTTCCTATAAAACGGAGAGATGGGACGTGCGGAAGTACGAAATGTCAAGAGGGGAAGTGGGCTACACGTACGGTTCAGTCGAGTAATGCCTCTTTACTGCATTTCGGCGCTGCAGCGGACAAAATGAAGAACACTGTTTCCAAAACCAACCGATCTAAAACTGTGTAAAAAAAAAGCACAGGAAGCAAGAATGAACACACGACGTCACACAACAAGACAGCAAACATGACATGTGAAGTGCAGTTGGACCTGAACCCATATACTGAAATTTTATGAACACCAGGTCTTTAATCTGGAAAGATGGCAGCACCGACAGCTAATGTATATGTATTGAACCCGGTGTGGCTGCTTTTGTTCACTGTATGTGCTGGTACCTAAAATGTTCATCAGGCATGCACAAGGCCGTAAAGCCGCCAATCAAATGTTAGTACAAACAAGTCCTATTGCTAAAAACTAAAAAGCACTGAAACTCGGCGTGTGCAGCAAAAACCTGAAAGTGATATTATCAGAACCCTGTGAAAAAAAATGCTTCAGGATCATTTGATATGCGCATCCATGTCCATCGCTGTTCGATCTAAATCTGAGTTAGCTAGACAAGCTGTAGCAGTAGGGTAAATAAGCCAAAAATAAACAGATGCAAGGAAAAGAGGGTATTCGAAGCCATTGCAAAATAATCGGTTAAAAATCGGTACAGGTAAGCGTGTCGGTAGTTACAGCAGTTGAAATCGGTTGGTTTCGAGCTTCATTCAATTTGCCATCAAGCTTTTTGTAGCCAAAAAAACACATTCTGTTCACTGCAGTAACATACTCGACAGACCGCTCGTGTATTCACTTCGTGTTGACATTCAAATAATTTAGAATGACGACCTAGCTTTAATTTTATCCTACAGTTGCTATGAAAGTGAAAAAGCTAGCTTTTTTTCGTGAATTTGCAGAAAAAACCGAAATTTAGACAAAAGCTCATGCAAAAATTGTGGCGTTTTGCGGGATTTGGAAAACTAGTAAAAACGGTAGAAAAGAAAAATTTGGCTAAGAAATTTCGAATTTGATATTCTCCCAAAATGGCTTGATGCAAACTAGTAACCTGTTTTTTCCTTCTCCAATTCTGTATGAGCACTTGCATCACATTTCGTCGTTCCAGTATCAGCGAACTTAGCTGAGCAAATCGTCTATTCAGGCGTTCCAGTTCTTCAGTGACCTGCTGTGCTCCATTTTTCGGTTGTGGCGTTGCACGGCGGAACTCATTCCGTATGCTTGGTCCGTGAATATTAATAATATTTTCCATGTATTGTACCAGACGACTGTCGTAACCCTGAAATACAAGATGAAACCTAGAGCATCCGCCACTTCTAATTGATAGATTTCTCAGAATTTCAGTGCTGTTTTGTCTTAGTTTAAACAAAATGATAAAATCATTCGCTGGTAAATAATAGAATAATTCACATTTAAATTACCTGGAAATGAACGAAAGGTCTCATCGTTATCTCGTATGCAAGTGATCACCTCAGCCCGACATATAAAAACAAAAAAGATCACATTCAAAAAATCACTTTTGCATCACGAATAAATTTTCCGCCTTCTCTGTTCAAATTCTCAATCGCTTCGGTGCGTTCTTGCAACTGCGAGTACTCAGCAACAAGTTGATCGAGCTGATGTTGATACTGCTCTGGCTGAAGCTCTTCGGGTCTTCGCAAACTACAAAACAAAAATACGGTATTCAAAAAAAAAAAGTAATGAATGAGAAAAGCCTTCTCTAAAAATCAATAGGCAACCAAAATACAAAGAAACTTTGATAGAGGACTTTCCTCTGTTATCACAATTTAGCAAACCTGCATTCCCCTATGCAAAAATACGGGATACCTGTTGATGGTGGCCTCAACATTGTCTAGCCATTTGATTTCATTTTCATATTCCGCGCGATATACCATTTGGGTTTGCAGTGCACGTTCCGTACTTTTCAGACGATCAGCCACCTGCGAGCAAACATTTTCCCATCGAACCGTTAACGTCTGAACTTGATCCTCCAAGCGATCGACATCTGGATGGCTGAAAGTACGAAACTTTTATTCCGTCTCTCCTGCCTTTAAAATTAGAAATCACTGGCTATATATTTGGCAAATTTAGTCAATAGAATTTTTTTCACTAATTACATTAGATAACAACCCAGACGGAAGAATTAAAACTGAATTTTTTTTAGTAGAAGTTACTCAGGTAACTTCAAAAGAAACAATTCTGCGCGTGCGTTTTTTTTTTTAGTTTTTTCTAACCTCATAGAACGGTAGCAATAATTATTCATCAAGAACTGCTGCCGTGGAAAATAATCATATTCAGAAAGAATTTTCAAATTTTTCAATCGCGTTTTTCGCATCACAAGAAAGTTTTTAGCTTTTTCCAGCTACCCCATCTAATTTTCCTGGTTCAAGAACGATCCGAAGGTCATAAAAAACAACGATCGTCACAGAAATATCTCACAGACTGTCGTTACCTGACTGTATCAAATCAGCGGAAAAAAATCAAAATGCAAGTGAAAAAACAAACTTTGGCGACTGTCGAGTTCGCGAAACATGCTGCCGCAAAAGAGCGATATTACGGTTGAGAGCATCAACGATCGTCTGTTGCTGCTGCAGCACCATATTCAATTCCAGTAACTGAGAATGTACACCACGTAGTCGGTCCAGAGCAGCAGGCATATCATCGAACGAATTTAGGGTAATTTCATGATGCCGCACGATGTCAGTTACCTGCAATATGCACAAATAACACACGAAAAAAAGCGTCACGTCAAACGTCGAAAAACTAATGCTTGATTGGTTTCCGAAAGCGTCCTGTTGTTTTTTTCTGCCACTAACACATTATGGCCGTCTGGACAATCGGAGCAAGGTTCCTATTTTAATTTTGCCGGGTTATTCCCGCGCGATCCTCGGTTTACTTAAGCCAAACCGCTCGATACCGTATCATTTTACATAAAAATTTGCAAAAAAACTCCCACTACCAGCAGATATGACTACAGAACCAAATCTAATGAAACCCTAAAGGCACTACGTGGCTGTGCTACACTTGTGTTTCAATCTCAGCTAAAAAGAAGGGAACTGAGAAGAGTTTACCACAAAAAGTGTACTAATACTAAACCACATACTACAGCCACAAACAACCAAAAAAAGAAAAAGAAAAACTGCGTGAAATTACCTCGGCGAGACCATTCAGTACTGCTTCCAAAGATTTTAATCGTTCAACATACATCCGCGACAGCTCCCACAGATCTTCCCAGCGACCGTTCAGATGATCGAAATTCGCTCGCTGCGATGGTGTTGGATTGGGAATTTGCCGGAACAATTCATTTACGGTTGATACGTCAATGTCAAGTGCTTGAAGAGCATCCTCAAAATCTTTATGTTCAACAATCAGTCTTTCAAGATCAGCTACCGTCCGCGGGATACCCTGAAATTGAAATTCATCAAAAAAAAGTGATAAACTCTAACAACTGACATTTTCAAAAAATCAAAACCTTTTCGTAATCAAACTTTAGAAAAAAAGGCGGAGGCACTCTAGTATTGATAAAATTAGTGCCACGTAAACAGCAACAGCCTACTTGTTAGGCTGCCGATGACCCTCCCTTCCGGTTTTAAGAGAGTTGCTTTGAAAGCAAGCTGAGAAAAGTTTTAGGCCCTCTATAAGCATATTAGTTACCGGAACAAATGAGTGAACTGTAAGAAGATTCGCTGCTCCCCTCCTCTTTCCTTCTGATGAATTTGCACCACCTCCCCCCCCCCCC